GTACACAATTTTGGTGCAGGTTTTTCGGTGGCAGCCAGCTTATGCTCTTTCTTCTACCTCCTTATTTCCTTCTTCCTACGAAACGAGTCCACGTTGGTACACAACATTTAACGTTAAAGTTTCTAATTTCTAGTTCATCAGCATTGTGTGAATCCTGGAATCTTTTTGTGGATGACACTACTCTATGCGCAACAAAACAAAGCTCAACTCAAATAGGTGTCATCGCCTTCCACAAGCTGACAAGATTAGTTTGTTCAACTTTCCCTTCACTTTCTCTTCAACTTTGGTGGGGTTAGGTAACAAAAAAAAAACTTTATAGACCCAGTCTTATTATTTTCTCTTTTTTGTTGCAAATCTCGTGTGGGTTCTGGTAGTTGCTGAAATTGATAAGAGAATTGCAAAAACCATGTGGTAAAATAAACCCTTTTGCGCATTTTTTGCTGTGTTCTAGAACTTAGAATTTCTATATGGGTCTTTGGAGGCCGGAATTTGACTAGTTGGGTAAGGGGTTTGTTTGATCTTGGTGTAGAACCCAGAAATGAAATCAAAATTGTGTTATGTTTCGTTATGAGGTGATTTGTTATGTGAAGTTGTTATGGCTGTTTGAGAGACAATAATTACGAAACCTATGTTATGAATTGGTTGTTTCTTAGTCTATATTATTTGGTTTAAGATCAATAGATTGTAGTGGGGAAAAAAAAAAATCTGAACTTGGAGCTTAGGCTTTCTACCCTGAAAGGGTTTTTTTAATATTGGTGAGCACTGTAATTTGGGTGTAGAAGATGGTTGAAACTGATGAAGCAACGAGTAATTCCGTGTACTCAAATGGTTTGATTCAAAACTCCAACGGTTCTTTAGAGCAGAAGCTTGATGAGCTTCGCTGTCTAATGGGAAAAGCCGAAGGTGATCCCTTAAGGATTGTTGGGATTGGGGCAGGAGCCTGGGGTAGTGTCTTTACTGCTATGTTGCAAGACAGTTATGGTCAATTAAGAGAAAAGGTTCTTATTAGGATATGGAGGAGACCTGGAAGATCAGTTGATAGGGCAACAGCTGAGCATTTGTTTGAAGTGATCAATTCAAGGGAAGATGTATTGAGGAGACTAATTAGGCGTTGCGCATACTTGAAATATGTAGAGGCAAGATTAGGTGATAGAACATTATATGCTGATGAGATATTGAAAGATGGGTTTTGCTTGAATATGATTGATACTCCTCTTTGCCCTTTGAAGGTTGTGACCAACTTGCAGGAAGCTGTGTGGGATGCTGATATTGTGATAAATGGATTGCCTTCAACAGAAACTAAGGAGGTTTTTGAAGAGATTAGTCAGTATTGGAAAGAAAGAATCACAGTGCCAGTCATCATTTCATTAGCAAAAGGTGTAGAGGCTGAGTTGGAGCCCCTACCACGTATAATAACTCCAACCCAAATGATCAATCGAGCAAGTAAGAATCATTTCCTCTTTCCTTGAATTCCTGATAATTTAGTTCTCATCTAGTGTTCGTGGGTGGGGTTGTGGAGTAAAACAAAATTCTGTGGCTTTTGAACTTCTATCATGTTTCTAGATAGTTATGCAACATGGAACTAATGTATATCTTGTAACTTAGTAATCATGTAATTGTTGGTGATTTAGTAGCCCATTGCTAGATTAACAAAAACATTTTTGCACTTCTTTGCACAATAGTTGTTTAGAGAAATTATTCAACTCCAACTGACACTTGTCATTAGCTTGATTGCTTCGAGGGTCAGTGGTGTATGAGATATTGAGTCTAGATTCCTGACAGCTTGTAACTGGTGAAGGAAGTCCTTCAGACACAGTTATCATTCAATCTATTTGTTTTGTTGAATGAACCATCTTAGATCACATAGTAGAATATTTTAGGAGCTTGCATTTAGATTTCACTCACATTGACACTCAAATTGCATCTTAGAGTCTAGCACATTGACACAAACGAAAAAAAATCATGTTAGACTCTTTGGACTGTGTAGTTTTGAGAAGACTGAAATTTGTTTTTATCACTTTTGTAGTTTCAGAGAGAGACTTATTTTGGCCTGGAACATTTTTTTTGGTGAAAAGTGGAGTTCCCTTTTTCACTAGTGTAAATATTCCTTCCTTGGATAGTAACATTATAACTTCTATCGTATTTTGCTTTGCAGCTGGAGTTCCCATAGAGAACATTCTATATCTTGGAGGACCTAATATTGCCTCAGAGATTTACGACAAGGAATATGCTAATGCTCGAATATGTGGAGCTGAAAAGTGGAGGAAACCATTGGCAAAGTTTTTGAGGCAGCCCCATTTTATAGTATGGGACAATGAGGACCTTGTTACTCATGAAGTCATGGGTGGCTTGAAGAATGTCTATGCCATTGGAGCTGGTAAGATTTATTCTCTTTTGGTATACCAAACATGGGCATTAAAGATTTAGTTGAATAGTGACATTTAGGTCTACAACAAACCTGCACTTTCAACTTTGCATATATGCCAATACCTTAGTCTTTTTCTTTTATGAGTATACAGCAATAATAGTTGAGCTTGACCAATGACAAGTCAAGCATGATTGCTTGAACTTATATCTGTTACCTAGATATAAGCAAAAGTACATTCTTTAGGAACTGACATGTCTGAAACTTAGAGAGTACTCTAGACTGCAATTTATGGGTTTTCCTTTTCCTTTTTTTTTATCCACTCCTTATATGCACAGAAATAAATATCAATTAGATTAATGTTCAAAAAAGGTCAATCCAGTTCCTTATATGCACAGAAATAAATATCAATTAGATTAATGTTCAAAAAAGGTCAATCCAGTTTGCAACCTGTATATGAATGAATTAAAGTACTGACATCTACTTTGTTGATAAAAGCCTCCTTAGAGTGCTGTTCTTATTTGTGCATCAGTTTCCTGCAAGCGTTGGTTTCAACTTTTATGGTTGGAAGTTTTATTAGTGTCTCTTTTGTGGCTTTATAATATCCTTCTGTATGTTGTTCACTCATGCTATTTAACTCAACAAACAATATGTATAACTTTTTGTTTTAATCACACAGGAATGGTAGCAGCTCTAACCAAGGAGAGTGCCACCAGCAAGTCGGTATACTTTGCACACTGTACATCTGAGATGATATTTATCACTCATCTTTTGGCTGAGGAACCCGAAAAACTTGCTGGGCCTTTGTTGGCTGACACTTATGTGACCCTTTTGAAAGGTCGTAATGCATGGTATGGACAAGAGTTGGCAAAAGGGAAATTGAGCCTTGACTTGGGGGATAGCATCAAGGGCAAGGGAATGATTCAGGTATAGACTTAACAACTCCAACTTGTGGTGAATGACAGAGTCTGGGTTCATTGACCATGAATTCTCTCAAAAGTGGTGTGACTCAACACTGAGTTAGAGGATACAACAATTTTTTTATTTTCTTGTTTATCTTGTCTGTTGTTTTTTGTGCGAATATTCAGAAGGGTCTCGTGTCAAGATTGGTCAATAACGCATTTCACTTTATTTTACAGAAATATTTTTATATATTATTTTATTAGAGTTTTTAAATGGTAAGATAACTTCTATTTAAGTATATTAGTATTACTAAAGTTTCCCCTTACAGCACATGCTATTAGAACTTCATTAGAAAGAATGATTTATACTTGTATGTTGACTCATCGTAATTCTTCTATATAAGAGGCAAGATAATGCCTCTATCTTGCATACAAGAATGGGGCATTTGGAAGCATCTATTACTAACATTTTTTGAGACACGGATACTTCAAATGGCCATTTTGACATCTGCCAGACTATTTGGAATGTGCTTTAGATTTTAAAATTGTATATAAACATATTTCTTCTAATTGTTAAATCCAAAATTTCATCTAGAAACTGTTACAGGTCTATGATATATAAGCTTGGATATGAGTTCCACAACTCCGATGATTTTAGTAATCTGTAATAATCAGTTCATTCAATAATGAAATTTATATATTCTTTTCATCTATTTTTCTTGCTTACGGAACAATGCTAACCTTCATCTTTTGTTTGCAGGGGGTCTCTGCTGTGAAAGCATTTTACGAGCTGCTAAGTCAGTCCTCTTTAAGCGTCCTAAATCCCGAAGAAAACAAGGCCGTAGCTCCCGTGGAGTTATGCCCTATCTTGAAGATGCTTTATACTATACTCATAAAAAGGTACCAAATATCCCACCCTTAAAGTTTGTGCTGATGCTTGTACTTGACTCTATGCATTAGTTTCGGACATGCAATCTGACATTTTGAATGAATATAAATCTTCAGGGAGTTCCCATCTGAAGCAATTCTTGAAGTATTAAGAGATGAAACCATGAACGACCCACGAGATCGTATCGAGATTGCACAAACCCATGTTTTCTACCGACCATCACTTCTTGGCCACCAGCCTTGATGATGAACACCCATATCTTTTTCTAGTGTGTCATATTGTCCACCTTCATCGGATGTAAATTTGATAAACTAGTGTAGATTCTGGGGTGGTTTATGTAAACACTATAGAGGAGGTGACTTCTTAGAACAGAAAATTTTGTAATGTTTCAGTTCATTTTGTGCTTGTGCTCCATTGGAACTCTGAAATTGATTGTTGAATTTTGAAGATCATGGTAATATTTTTTATTGATTTTATGAAATAAAATATGTTGTATGATTCGTAGAATGTCGAAAATATGTTATGTTTCAATAGACCAAAAATTAGTTGAGATTTGAGTAAACTTGCGGTAGCCCCATTTACAGAAAATAAAAATCATTCTGTTTTGTACAAGCGCCTGAGATAATTCAAGCGGCATTGCCGCTGCCAGCAAAACGGATTGGGCCGCTGTCAGACAGCAGCCCATCTTGCTGTCGAAGCAACTATTTGGTCCGCTGTCAAGGGAGCTATCTAAATACGACGTCGTTAGAATTCGTATTAATAAAACGCATCGTTTTAGCACAGAGAGAGACATTTACAAACGTTGAAACTTGACGCGACGGTGAGGTCGCAGAGAGAGAGAGAGATGTCGCTGGTGGACTACGCTTCTTCCTCAGACGACGACGTATCGGAAGCCGAAGTTGAACAACAACAAGAGGAAAACGTACAGCCACAAATCTCCATACGGCAACCTTCTCCTCCTCACCCTCATCCTAATCTCCGGTAATCTCTCTTTTTTCTCTCTTAATTTCTTTCAATAAAATCAATTATAGGGTTCAAAAATTTAATGTTTCTATTCTTTTAATAATCCTAGCTGCTCGTTATTTTAGATCGGAGTCGTCTTCGTCGTCGAAAAATCGGCCAGAAATTGCTGCACCTTTGTCGTTACCACCGCCGTTCGAATCTTTTGAAAAGCTTCCAGATGCTTCAATGCTCTTGAATTCAACCACTGTCTCAGTGGTTGGTGGAAAAGACCACGCTTCACGCGTTGCAGCTGCAATGGCTGAAAGTGCAACACGCAAGAGAGACTCTAATGGCTTGCCTTCCACTCTCCCCCGAAGTAAAATCCCCAAAGGGACCTTGCCACATTCCAAGAATGTCCTCGACACTGCCGGTGGTTTGCTAGTTCCACCTCAGCTCAGTGGAAGGTGAACTGAATTGGATTAATTCAATCATGTTCATTCTTGTTTGATGATTAAAACTTTGTTCCATTGCTGATTGTTTGAATTGGGTTCTTTTGTAGGAGCAATATTGTGACGGAAGATATGACCAAGCTGTTTGTTAGAAGACAGGCGGAACCTTCCTCTCAGTAGAGGATCTCTAAATTAGTGGTAATAGCTTTGTGTGTTACATTGTTGTAGCTTTTTGGATAATGAATGACACAAACTTGTGGAAAATGTTTCAAGGATTTTGTTTGTGTAAATGTAAAGATGTATTTATTTACCCTTGAAATTCTTTCTTCTAATGGTGGTGGTAATGAGATTAACATTCATTGAAATTGTTGCAAAAATCAATTGGAGAGGTGAGCGTAGCCTTGGCTTTGCTATTTGATTGACAAGTAGACATCCATTGAAAGTTCACTAGTTTATTTGAAGTTGCAATTCTGCTTGGCAGGCATATTTATGTTAATCTTGAATGAATGTTGTTGAATAAGTAATTGCTGTTTTCTAGTTTATTCCGTGCTACTTTGACCAAAGTGTTTGCTTAAGACTGATCTAGCTTTGATGGAATGGTCCAGAATTCCATTCGGTTGGGCCAATTTGAATGTTAGGAATTGCTGTTTCCTGCCTTGATTATAAGCATTTAGAAGGTGGGATGCTAATGTCTGGAGATGGGCAAAAAGGAAGCGAGCAAACTTTTGTGTTCCTGTAAAGTTGTTTTAATAGCTTGATTAAAGTGTGGACCTTTATTCAGAAGAAGCTTATTTGGGGTGTGTGTTTAGCTTTGGGCAACCTTCTTTTTTGATTTGTAGTTCATGATAATGCAGAAAATATGCTTAGATTAGGTATTTATGGGAGGATAGAATTTAAATCTTCTTGACCCATTTATTGAGGGTCACTGTGGCTTCTCGGGTTGAAACTTGAAAATTTCTTTATCAGAGCTCTAGATAACTGATGGGCAAACAGGGTCCTGGACCGTGGGATAGGATGTTTCACTTTCTTCACTGCTATGCTAATTTCACACCCCCAAATTTGAGGGTTAGGCTTGTAAAACAAACTCTAAAGTTTACAAAATAACTCAAAAGAGTCAAACAACAATTCCATAGGCATATGGGATCATCTTAAACGAAAAATTAAATAAAATTTCAGATACAAGAAACGAAAATTTGATTAGCAAATAATAATAATAATAATAATCTGAAAAGTAAATCTTAATCATCTTCTGTTAGATATAATCTTTGTAAAATCATTTTTTTTTTAAAAATACTCTGTTGTTTCCAACTACAAACTTACGAGATCTTAATTCTATCACCAGGTAGCTCAATTTTATAACTAAATTATCATATCAGCCTCGAGAATCAAGGTGTCAAAATTTGTAACCAGGTTGAAATTGCTGCCCTGGAACATGTACTTCAGGTCCTCCATAAATCAACCCAGTTTCCTCATGCAAGCTCTGGGCCTCTGGGGAGTGGTTCATAACCATCGTGGTGCTTGTCTTTCACTGATTGCTCAATTGTTTCGACCGGAATCCACTTAAGAACAACAGCAACAAGCAAACTTACAGCTCCAATAACAACACTGGCCAACCATAACTTCCAGTTTAGAGGTGTTGTTTCTGCAAATGTGCCCAGTAATTCAACTATTATGATCTGGAAACCTACTGTAACCACCATCACGAGTACGAACACCCAGCTATCAAAAATCCCCCTGAAAATGTTTATCTTCTCCATGTCTCGGCTGTTTATTTCGTTGAATACCTAAGCATGTGTATACACCATCATTAATAATGTGCATGTAATTGAAAAGATTACCCCAGAATAAGCTGGAATGGAGAAGCAGTACCTGGCAAAACACAAAGGTGTTGAATATGAATGTGTTGAGAGTTAAAGTAGCTTCTGAACCTGAGAGTCCCAAGATATGTTTTCCATAGAAAGTTAGAACTCCAAGGACTAGAATCTGATAAATGCTCTGGCCAATGATATTCCTCCACATGGTCAAGGTGATGAAATTTTCACTTCTCCCAACTGGGGGTCTTTTCATGAGAGCATCATTTGGAGGTTCTGTAGCAAGAGCCAATGCACCAAGAGTGTCCATGATCATGTTCACCCACAGCAATTGAACAGCAGTAAGAGGGGCAGAGCCTGAATGTAAAATTTCGTTCACAGAGTTACAATTAATAGTCCTCTCAATTATCAAACACCAAAAGGTTAGGGCTCATTACCAGTGATACATGCAGAGACGAAATTGATAGTGAGAGCAACAACATTAACTGTTAACTGGAACTGAACAAACTTCTGAATGTTGATATAAACTGAACGACCCCATCTAGCAACATTGACTATAGTGTTGAAGTTGTCATCCATGATGATTACATCAGCATTTTCTTTTGCAACCTACAGAGGAGAAAGTTGCTAAGCCATTGATGGTGCAATAGAGAAATCATGGGTGATCATCGTCTGATCTCATAAAAGAGGTAAGTGACAAACCTCTGTGCCTGCTATGCCCATAGCAAGTCCAATGTCAGCCTCATGTAAAGCAGGAGCATCATTGGTTCCATCACCAGTCACTGCCACAACTTCATGGAACACACTCCTCAACTGAGTAACTAATGTGTGTTTGTCTGTAGGCGATGATCGAGCCATAACCTACGCACATAGCTAGAGAATTAGAAGTGAGAAAATGAAAAAACTACATTTAAATTCTCTATGTAGCAGGACCTTAGAAAGTTAGGATCTAGTTCACCTGTAGTTTTGGGATTATCTCCTGCATCTGCTGTGGACTCTTTGCACGAAAATCAGGTCCTTCAATAGCCAAACCATCATGTGTCAAGATGCCACATTCTTCAGCTATGGCTTTGGCAGTAAAAATGTTATCACCAGTGACCATTCTCACAGTAATCCCAGCAGCTAAACAAGATTTAACAGCTTCCTTCACCCCAGGGCGAACCGGGTCCTTTATTCCAACAACAGCTATTAGTGCGTATTCATTATCGGGAATGCCATCTACATTGGACTTGTCTTTTATATCCTTGTATGCCAAGCATAGAGTTCTCAGAGCTTGAGAGGCAAAACTATTGATAACATTAGTCATGTTTTTTCTTTGATCTTCTGAGAGAGGCACAACTTCCCCATCTGCATTAACAATCTTGTCACACATTTTTAAAACTATTTCAGATGCACCCTTGCAAAATGCGCGAAACCCCCCATTGTCAGGAAGAGAGACTAGAACAGACATCTTTTTCTTGACTGAATTGAAAGGTTCAACTTTCACTATTGCTGATTCTTGCCTATGGATTTTGTAATCACCCCCTAAAAGCAATCCATATTCTAATATCGCCCTCTCAGTTGGAGAGCCTAAAATGTTTGGCTTTCCATCTTTTCCTTTAACTACTTCCGAGCCAGTGTTCTGAAATATGGACTGCAAAAGGATGTTATATACTACTTCTGAGATTGAGGACTTGAGAGATTTTTCATTTTCATCTCTCTTTATTATTTTAGTTTCATTGCATATCCATATTCTGTTCACCACCATGTGATTTGTAGTCAATGTACCTGTTTTATCAGTGCAAATGCAACTGGAAGACCCCATTGTTTCACATGCTGAGAGGTGTCTCACTAGTGCTTTATCATTCATCAATTTCTTCATTGCAAAGGCAAGACTTAATGTTACTGCCAATGGTAGTCCTTCAGGAACTGCAACTACAATTATGGTCACTGCAATGGCAAAGTAATTTAGAAGTGTCAATGCATCATCCGAAGACCAGTGTTTTATGTCATCATGAAATGCCTTCTCTACTAAAAATCTTGCAGTCAAAACCAAAAATGTCATCACAGCAAAAGCCAAACCAATCTTCCCAATAATGGTAGCGACCCCATTAAGCTTCACTTGTAATGGTGTCTCATCTTCACCCCCTTCACTCAGTGTAACCATCAATCTTCCCCATTCAGTTCTCATTCCCACAGCAGTCACCAACATCTTACCTGAACCATCCTGAACTTTAGTCCCTGATAATAGAAAAGGCCTCTGTTGGTTTACATGAACCGGTTCAGGCTCGCCAGACAAGCTTGATTCATCAATTGTTAGGTTATAACCTGATATAAGTACACCATCTGCTGGAACCTGGTCACCAATTGATAAGTGAACTACATCTCCAACAACCAAATCATAGATTGAAATTTTCTGTCTGAATCCATCTCTAGTCACCTGAACAATTATATTTTTTTTCTCTTTATCCAAAGCCTTGAATTGCAAGGATTGTTTGTAGTCACTAAAAGCAGTAACCATTACAACTAGGAAAATACTCAGAATTATACCTAATCCATCATACAATCCATCAGGCCAGCCTTCGGTGGCGATACCAACACCCATGGAGACTGCAGCACATATCATGAGAATAACAAGAGTCAAGTCATGGAAGGCATCCCAGAAGAACATAAAAAACCCTTTAGAATGTTTCTCAGCATATTTGTTGATCCCATATATGTTTTGTCTATTAGCTATTTCACTTGAGGCAATGCCATCCTTCAAAGATACAGAGACTTCTCTTGCTAATCCTTCAACTCCTCCATGCTCTTCCAAGGCCTTCTTGTCAGATCGAGCAATGGATTCTAGTTCATCAGGCTCAATGCCGTAGCCGGCTTCCAGGACATGTTGGGAGAGCTTGTACTCAACTCGAGTACCAGCTGTATCAGATAAAATTATATTATAATTAGAACAGAATCAAGGACTTTGATGAGTTATTAGCTTTTAATTATTTAATTGAGACTTGAGACCATACCATCAATGAAGTGCAATGCGGCTTTTTGCACAAAAAGAGCTACTCTTAACTTTTCCTGGCCAAAAAAGGTAAGAGCACAATAAGGATAGGAACTCCAGGAAAACATTAAGCAATATATGAATACTCTAAAGCTGACAGATCATTTCTGTAATGAAAATCTCAATACATGTCCAATGTAGTGTTGTATACTTATAAATAACACACAATTTTTTTTCTAGTGCACCAAATTAAGCCTGTTGTTCAAATAAATTCNTTTGATGGACGGCCGTTCACTAAAAAAAAATTATAAAGAAATGGGAGAACGCGTTCCACGTCGGCCGGTACAAAAATTCGGTGCAAATGTTTCGGTGTCCGTAGTGTTATTGTGGACAGGGCAAAGGAACCTTTAGCAATTGTGCCTGTTTTTGCAGCTTATGAGTGTGCATTTGTGGATTTGCAGGATGGAGAAGAGGACAATTTTGTGCCTATTTTTGCAGCTATGGTGTGCATCTGGAAACTGCTCAGTTTTTCAAACCTGATTTGAAATTTGATGTTTCAGTTGTATATCACATTTTCATGTACTGAATTCATGGTTTCTGTTTAAACCATGGAGACTTAATTGATACTGAATTGATGTTAATTATGAATGCTTTCTTTTAAATTATGAAAAATTTCATT